CCTGGGGTTGCTGTGAGGACGAAATGGAACCATGGATATAAAGCACTTAGTGCGGAGCCTGACACCGAAGGAGACTTCAGTGCCTGGTAGCCAGTGTGCAGACACCTCCACCATGGAGGGATGTGTATGTGTTTGTGTGTGTGTGTGCTCACACCTCCACCATGGAGGGGTGTGTGTATGTGCACTGCACATCTACACACTCTGAAGGTGAGTGTGAGTGTGTTTGTGTGCTGACTCCACACATTGTGCCAGTATATCAGTGTGTGTATGCTGACACCCACTATGGAGGTGCGTGTGCATGTTTGTGTGCTGACACATGCTCTCTGGAGCAAGTATGAGTGTGTGTGTCTATGTTGGTGTTGGGGGCTGATGGGCAGGTGTGAAGGCAATGTGTCTCCTGGGTCAAAGGTGTTGGGTGTCTGTTGATTCATGTTTGTGTTGAGTGGGGCGTTCGCAAGTGAGGCCCCCTGTTGGGCGGGAACTCCTGGGCTGGTGCAGCTCTACCAGGCTCTCTGCCAGAGTGGGAATGTTTTGGGCAGCTCTGGGGGCCATTCCAGGCAGTTCCCTTGAACTGAGTTCCAAGCATCCTTGTCCAGCTCTGGGGCCCTATCCAGCTGTGTCTTCTCCTTCCTGGGCCCAGGAAGCCCTCTCTGGCCAGTGCCAGCACTCTCAGCTGAGGGAAAGGAGGAGGAAGTAGCAAGGCCTGGGGGTGGCCCTGAGGCTCCGCTGCTCCTGGCTCTGCGCCTGCGGGGACTTTGATTCGTCTGAGCGCTAGGGGGCAATGTGTCTGTTCCAAAGACATTCCGCGGGCCCTTGCAGGCAGAGTGCACACGCAGGCACACGCAGGGGCGCCCATACCATGGAGGCGCACACGCCGGCACAGATGGGCATAAGCACAGGCATGCGCCCTCATACTTGTAGAAAAAACAGACACACTATGAGCAGGGATGCAGGCACACAGGGGAGAGGGAGCCATACACACATAGGTACATGCAGAGGAATTTACACAGACAAACACAGGGTTGGGGGACAGACAGCACACACACACACACATGCGGAGACACCACAGATACATGCATGGCTACACACACATGTACAGATGCCCTGGCACCCCACACAAATGAAGACACAAATGTAGGCACGTCACTCACCCGCACAACATTCGTAGTGTAAGAAGAAGGCGACCCAGACACACAACCGAGCCCAAACACACTCTCCTTTCAGATACTCGCACACCTTGTAGAGCTAACTCTTGGAAACAGCCCCAAACAAATACTCCCACAACCCCCTCCCTGGTGCACACAGAATTATTCCACAGGAAACCTGCCCAGGTGTGCTGGGGACTCCCATCCAGTCCTTGCATGAAGTCATGCCTCAGCCCAGTGCACACCCCAGCCTGGGTCTCCCCAGACTGCAGGCCTATGAGCCATTCTCCCAGCTCCCTGGCCCACCCTAGGCCCCAGACAGGTCCTCACCTTTCCTTATTCCCTCCAGACATAGAGACACAGGCTCCTTATGTAGGCACCCCTGAGACAGCCATAATGCAGAGCCAACTGAATATGTGACCCAGTGTTATGGACTTTGCACAGGCCTTTGCCCATGTGGGGTTCTCCCCCTAACCATTCCCCCTTCTAATCCTCTTTCCTGCCCAGGAGGTTCAAGGTCCCCCCTGCTCTGGCCCTAGAGCCCCAGAGCCCTAGGTCCTTGGCAGTGGGTCACTGGAGGCCTACCCAGGCCCTTTATTTCTTTGTGCCTACATCAGCCAAGCCTCAGTTTTTTCTCTGGCTCTCACTTCCCTGTCACTTTGCTAAGTAATAATTTCCATGTCCAATTCCATTTCTTTTCTAGTTCTGAAACCTCTAAGCTATCAGCAAGAGGATAGTTCACATGAAAACTAATTACACAAAATCAATATTTAATCACAGACCAACAACCTGATCCTGCAGAAAAATCCTTTAAAAACTCCACCACCCTGTACAAATACTTCTTCCCGATGCTTATTTATGGACCCCATTTTTGGTGGGGATAATTTTCATTTTTAATTTTAAAAAGAAAAAATATCTATAGACATCCACAACAGGGAGGCCCCAGGAAGGGCCTTGGATCTGAGCTTGCTTCGGGTTTCTGAGTTTTAAAGTTGTTGGTTTTTATTGCTTATTTTTATTTTAAATTTTTGTGGGGGAGGAATTTTTGTTGGAAATCCCCCTAGACCCTACTTTCTACCGGCCGGCGGCCCCCCCGCCCTAAAGTTGAGCCCACTGTCCAGGCTTGTGGGTTCTGGAATACCCAGCGCTGCTTTCCTAGCGGCAACTCCGGGGACCAATGAATCCGCGCGCACGACGTGGTAACTTTTTAAGTTGTGCCGCGATGGCGAAGTGCTTAATCTGAGGTTTTTAAATAAAAAGGGCTCGGGGGTTGGTTTTATTATAACGTTTATTTCATTTCAGATTTCATGCACAATTTAGCAAACGCTATACAGACTTGGGCGATAAACACTTTCTTTTGTGGGGGGAAAAGGCATTTTTATACACCATGCTTAATTTTATTTAGATTTAATAGCGATATCAGGGGCACTTCAAAAAAAGTTCTTTTTCTCCCCTTCTCCTGAGAATGCTGGTCTCGTGCAAAATCGCCTCGTGATATTTTATGGTAAGAAAAATTAAAGGCCTTCACCCCCCTCTTCCCATACACACACTTTAGGGAAGAAACATACACACACGCATACACACACACAGAGGCACGCAGAATAAACACCTCCTCTACCCTCCATCACCTCTAACTTCCAACTTCTAATTGCAAGATAGATTTCAGCCTCGGTGGGGATCAGGAAGATCTAAACATTTTAACTAAGATTATTGGGATAAATATTTCATAAAGAGCAGGGCAGATATTAAATTACTCCTATTGATTTTAGTATCACAACCCAATTCCGTTCCTTAGCCTCTTCAGTTTAATTGATCTCTTAAGGAGGCCAAACTCGCGCCCGCAGAGGGCCTGGACCCTGGCCGGGGTGACCCGAGCAAGGTGTTCCGGCCAGCGGGCGCGCCCTCTACGCTCAGGTCTTCTCGGGGTTCTCAGCCGCCTCTCCTCCGGGCTCCACATCCGATTTGCCCCTCATAGAGTGATCCAGTGGTCGTGGCTCCTCCGAGCCGAAACCGGCAGCTGAGAAACCGGAACCCCAGATAGTGGGGATAGGGAACAATTGCGAGCACCCTACGGGGCAGAAGTGAGCAAGCGCCCGGGTCTCTCGAGGAGAATCCCAACTTTGGGGTTCTCCGTCTGCTTTCACCTCCAGGAAAATCCCAGGCTGGCTAACTTGGACTCCGCTCGTGGAGAGGCGAGGGTTCACCCCAGGGCTGAAGCGCAGTAGACACGTACTTTCCGTGGCGAGTCCAGTGGCTTTGCCCCGCGACCCCATTGTCTGCGCGTCCCGAACCGCTCACCGCCCACCTCCCCGCCCCCTGCCTGCCCGACGGGTATCGCTTCAGTTGGGGGTGGGGAGTTAGGAATAGCGTGAATGGGGAGGGGGGGTGAACAAAGCCAAGCTCTTGCCGTTCTCCTCTGCCTGCGCCCTCTGCAGCCCAGCGCGCCCAGAGGCGTGGGCGCGCCCCCAGCGCTCCGGCGCCGGACCCCGAGGCTAGGCGGGCGCGGGGGACCCCACGGCTGGAGTAGCGCGGGTTCGTGGCGGGGGCCTCGGCAGCCAGGACCCCGGACCACCTTAAGAGCGAGCCCCGCCCCGAGCCCGGAGCTTGGGCGGCGCTGATTGGTGCAAATGTAATGGCTGAAATTGATTGCTGAAATGCAAAACTTGTTGCTGCTTCTCCCGGCGCTGGGCGAGAGGCAGACACAGAGAGGGGAGCCGAGACCCTCGGAACGCCCCACTCAGAGCCCCCCCCCGCCAGTCGGGAGAGGGGTGCGCAGACCCCCCAGAGCTGCCCCCGCCCCCCCATTCCCGGCTCCGAGAGAGCCCCCAGAACGCCTTAGCTTTGCTGGCTCAGCGTGGCCCCCCAACCCGCGTACGCCCCCCCTTCCCCGGGTCCGAGGGGGACTCGCGAAGCACCTCGGCGCGGAGGCAGGGAACCGAAGCCTTGGAGAGACCCGACCCCTCGTCTCGCTGCCCGCCAGCGCCTGCGACGGGGCGCGGAGACTCCCGTGAACTCAGAGACCCAACGGCTGAGGACAGAAGCGTCCAGCAGCGGACGTGGCCGCGCAGCGCACCCGCCGCGGAGCGGGGAAGCCTCGCCTTTCCTCCGACCCTCCGCTCCAATCCCCGGCGCCTGCCGCCTCCCCAGCCCTTCTGCGTCCTCGGCTTAGGGGCTGGCACCGGCGATGTCGAGCAGAGCCTCCAGTCCTCCGACCCGCTGAAGCAGCAGCCGCCGCTCACCAGGGGCCGACGGGGGACTGTGCGAGCGGATCGTGCTCGGTGGAGGCTTGGGCTGCGGAGCGCAAGGACTCCGAGGGGAGGGGGGAGGGACCGCTCTTTCGGTGCCCCGGCGCCAGCCGCAGCTTTTGAAGGGTCTTTCCCCGACCCTTAGAAGCTCCGCCACGGACTCCGAGAGACTGCGGGCGGCGTCCTGGGGCTCCCCAACCGACCCGATCGGACTTAAGAAGGTGATCGCTCTGCTTTCCCAACCCCCTTCCCGCCCCCTTCCCCCTACTTAACTTTTCGTCTCCGTTCACCCGCGGCTCTGTCCCCTCTCCGCAAACCCACCGGCGGCTGTGCCGACCGCCCGGGGCATGGGCCCCCCAACACGGCTCCTGGAGGCCCGGCGGCCTCGCAAGATGTGAGAGGCCCGACCCGGGAAGAGCCAGAGCTTCGGGATTGGAGCTGATAGCCCCCAGCCTCCCCACGCCAGGCGAGGTGACGGTGCGCGCTGCGCCCCCGCGGTGCCCGGCGTCCCGGAGCGCCCAATCCAGGGCTGGAACGAGTAGCTGGCTGGAGGCGCGCCGCGGAGAGCAGGCTGTCATGCCCTATTGATCCCCCCTGCCCCCCGCCAAGTATGTTTGGGCTGGACCAATTTGAGCCCCAGATCAACAGCAGGAACGCTGGCCAGGGCGAGAGGAACTTTAACGAGACCGGACTGAGCATGAACACCCACTTTAAGGCCCCGGCTTTCCACACTGGGGGTCCCCCTGGCTCCGTGGACCCTGCCATGAGCGCACTGGGCGAGCCCCCGATCTTGGGCATGAACATGGAGTCATACGGCTTCCACGCGCGGGGCCACTCGGAGTTGCACGCGGGGGGGTTGCAGGCACAGCCTGTGCACGGCTTCTTTGGAGGCCAGCAGCCTCACCATGGCCACCCGGGAGGCCACCACCCTCACCAGCATCACCCCCACTTCGGGGGCAACTTCGGCGGCCCGGACTCGGGGGCCTCGTGCCTGCACGGGGGTCGTCTACTCGGCTACGGCGGCGCAGCCGGCGGCCTGGGCAGCCAGCCGCCTTTCACCGAGGGTTATGAGCACATGGCGGAGAGCCAGGGGCCGGAGAGCTTCGGCCCGCAGCGACCGGGGAACCTCCCGGACTTTCACAGTTCGGGCGCCTCGGGCCACGCTGTGCCTGCCCCATGCCTGCCGCTGGACCAGAGCCCTAACCGAGCCGCCTCCTTCCACGGCCTGCCCGCCTCCAGCGGCTCCGATTCCCACAGTCTGGAGCCCCGGAGGGTGACGAACCAAGGAGCCGTCGATTCGCTGGAATACAATTACCCGGGCGAAGCGCCCTCGGGACATTTTGACATGTTTTCGCCCTCTGACTCCGAAGGGCATCTGCCTCATTATGCCGGGGGTCGCCAGGTTCCCGGGGGCGCTTTCCCGGGTGCATCGGCCATGCCCAGAGCCGCGGGCATGGTGGGCTTGTCCAAAATGCACGCCCAGCAACCACAGCAGCAGCAGCAGCAGCAGCAGCAGCAACAACAACAACAACAGCAACAGCAGCAGCAGCAGCAGCAGCAGCACGGTGTGTTCTTTGAGAGGTTCGGCGGGGCCCGCAAAATGCCTGTGGGTCTGGAGCCCGGAGTGGGCTCCAGGCACCCATTAATGCAGCCTCCCCAGCAGGGCCCGCCACCCCCTCAGCAGCAGCCCCAGCAGCAGCCTCAGCAGCAGCAGCCGCCACCGCCGCCGCCCGGGCTTCTGGTCCGACAAAATTCGTGCCCACCTGCGCTCCCGCGGCCCCAGCAGGGAGAGGCGGGCACGCCCAGCGGCGGCCTGCAGGACGGAGGCCCCATGCTGCCCAGCCAACACGCGCAATTCGAGTACCCTATCCACCGGCTGGAGAACCGGAGCATGCACTCTTATTCCGAGTCTGTTTTCAACATGCAGCATCCTCCTCCGCAGCAGGCGCCCAACCAGCGGCTGCAGCATTTCGACGCGCCCCCCTACATGAACGTGGCCAAGAGGCCGCGTTTCGACTTCCCGGGCAGCGCGGGAGTGGACCGTTGCGCTTCGTGGAATGGCAGCATGCACAATGGCGCTCTGGACAACCACCTCTCACCCTCCGCCTACCCTGGCCTACCCAGCGAGTTCACACCGCCTGTGCCCGACAGTTTCCCCTCGGGGCCGCCCCTGCAGCACCCGACCCCGGACAACCAGTCCCTGCAGCAGCACCAACAGCAGCAGCAGCAGCAGCAGCAGCAGCAGCAGCGCCAAAACGCGGCCCTCATGATTAAACAGATGGCGTCGCGGAATCAGCAGCAGCGGCTGCGCCAGCCTAACCTGGCCCAGCTAGGCCACCCCGGGGACGTGGGCCAGGGCGGCCTGGTGCATGGCGGCCCGGTGGGTAGCTTAGCTCAGCCGAACTTTGAGCGCGAAGGTGGCAGCGCGGGCGCGGGGCGCCTGGGCACCTTCGAGCAGCAGGCGCCACACTTGGCGCAGGAGAGCGCGTGGTTCCCAGGTCCGCACCCGCCGCCTGGAGAGCTGCTGCCCCGCAGGATGGGCGGCTCGGGCCTGCCAGCTGACTGCGGTCCGCACGACCCCAGCCTGGCGCCTCCTCCTCCGCCCAGTGGCTCGGGGGTGCTGTTCCGGGGCCCTCTGCAGGAACCGCTGAGGATGCCCGGAGAGGGCCACGTGCCCGCGCTGCCCTCGCCCGGCCTGCAGTTCGGGGGCAGCCTGGCCAGCCTGGGCCAGCTGCAGTCGCCCGGGGCTGGGGTGGGGCTGCCCAGCGCTCCTTCGGATCGCCGGCCACCGCCGCCGGACTTTGCTGCGCCGGCGCTCGGGGGCCAGCCGGGCTTTCCGTTTGGCGCAGCAAGCCGGCAGGCCA